AGTAGTAGTATTATATTGTATATTATATTGTATATATAATATACAATATATATTATATTATTAGAATAGCACAGGAGACAAGGTGGAACTGTCCCCTGCCCTCCTAAAAGTTGCACGAGTTCCACTTGGTTTAAAATAAAATAAAAGTATCACATTTGAAATGTTCCCATTCTAAAACACTGCTTTCAACTTTGCCTATAGCATCCAAATGCTTTTGGCAATATATACCTATACTAGCTGCCCCCTGCCACGCGTTGCTGTGGCCCAGTCTGGTGATCTGGAAAATAAAGTAATGAGAAAGTGTTGGTTTCTAATATATATAATGTCTTTATGCTTGTGGGTAAACAGTATTTCTTGCTGTTTCTTTGTCAGTGTTGATGTGGACATTGTCTGGTTTGCCGACCCTGGAACATGCAACATATAATTGTCCTTCTGTAAGGGTCCTTTTCAAATCTATGATACTATATCTGTGTGTGTGTGAATCATTATCTATCTATCTATATCTATCTATGGCTGGATGGCTCTTCATCAGGAGGACTTTGATTATGTTACCTTGCCCTGGTGAAGCGAGTTGGACTGGATAGCCTTAATTATTTTCTGTTGGTCATGGGGGCTCTGTGTGGGAAGTTTTCCCCAATTCTGTCATTTGTGGGGTTCAGAATGCTCTTTGATTGTAGGTGAACTGTGAATCTCAGTGACTACAACTCCCAAATGTCAAGGTCTATTTCCCCAAACTCCATCTGTGTTCATATTTGGGCGTATTGAGTGCTTGTGCCAAGTTTGGTCCAGATCCATCATTGTTTGAGTCCACAGTGCTCTCTGGATGTAGGTGAACTACAACTCCCAAACTCAAGGTCAATGAGTTCTTGTGGGTTTTTTCGGGCTATATGGCCATGTTCTAGAGGCATTTCTCCTGACGTTTCGCCTGCATCTATGGCAAGCATCCTTAGAGGTGAGGTCAATGCTCAACAAACCCTTCTAGTGTTTTCTGTTGGTCAGAAGAGTTCTGTGTGCCAAGTTTGGTTCAATTCCATCGTTGATGGAGTTCAGAATGCTCTTTGATTGTAGGTGAACTATAAATCCCAGCAACTACAACTCCCAAATGACAAAATCATAATTTTTTGAGTGATGGTCACTCCTTGTGTTGTGAGACGTTTTGTTGCCAAATTTGGTGTGATTTCGTTCATTGGTTCTTTTGTTTTTAAGGTACTCATTATGCACAGAGCATTTATATATTGATAGAAGATTATTAACCTATTGGTATCAGTTCCCCCCAATTATGGTATCAATTCCCCCAAATTAAGAGTTTAAATTTCAGGAAACTCTGAGATGAGCGCTTTGCAAACAAAGAAGGCAAAAGCTCCTCTGAGCATGCGCAGAGTGAAAGGGAATTACTGCTAGGGAAGCCTCCTTTGCAAAGGGCCCACCTACTCTCCCCCCACACACTTCAGCGCCACAGCCCCCCATTCACACATTGAAAAGGGCACGTGTTAACATACGTGTCCGTGGTTTGCCCTGTCAGAAGCAGCCAATCCTTCCCAGGCTCCTTCTTGAGAGCCTCCCTTCGAAGACGCCGAGGAAACTCTTCTGTCACTCTCACTCAGGTGCTTGAAATGGCCGCTCCGTGACGCAAAAACAGCCCGCGCTCTCTGATTGGTGGATTTAAACCACGCTCGCGGCCTATCAACGTCCTGTAGGGCGTGGTGACGTCACTCTGGCTCTGACCCAGTCTTTCCTTCTTCACAGAGGCAAGGCACCCTGGTGTGTGCACTGCATTTCCCAGAATTCCTCCTCATTCGTCTATGGAACTGAGGCTTCTGGGAGTTGAAGTCCAAAAGACAACGCTTGGCAATCACTTCTCCACGCCATTCACAGCGCCCTCTGTCGGAGGATGGGATGCCTTATTCTCACTCCATCAGTGAAACAGATACATGGCTGAATTTTTATCCCATGCCTCAGGTTGGGGCCCTGTATAAAATCCAGATCATCAGCTTTGAACTGGATTATATGGCAGTGTAGACTCAGAGCCCTTCCACACAGCCATATAACCCAGACTATCAAAGTGGATAATCCACAATATCTGCTTTGAACTGGGTTATCTATGGTCCCTTCCACACAGCTGAATAAAATCCCACATTTTCTGCTTTGAACTGGAATATATGGCAGTGTGGACTCAGATAACCCAGTTCAAAGCAGATATTGTGATATATATTTTTTTGCCTTGATATTCTGGGTTATATGGCTATGTGGAAGGGCCCTGAGTCCAGAATGCCATATAATCCATTTCAATGTGGATTTTATACAGCTTTAGATAATTAATTCAAAGTAGATAATATGGGTTATCTGCCTTGATATTATGGATTATATGGCAATGTAGAAGAGCCCTGGATCTACACTGCTTTATAGTCCAGTTTCCAATTCCAAATTATCTACTTTGAACTGGATTATAGGGTAGTGCAGATTTATATAATCTAGTTCAAGGCAGGTAGTAGGGATCAGATACTGGATTAAATGACAACATAGATCCAGCCTCAATAACCCAATTAAATACTAGGAAAATCCTAATAACATTTTTGGCTAGATCTACACTGCCACATAATCTGGATAGCTAGTTTGAACTGGATTATATGATTCTACACTGCCATATATTCCAGCTCAAAGCAGATAATCTGGATTTTATATGGCAGTGTAGAAGGGACCTTTGTCAATAAGGCTATGATAATGATTTTTTTGTTTAATTTGTAAGATGCCTTGAGTCTCAGTTTGGGGTAAAGGGAGCGTCTATATAAGGCCCCTCTTTATGCACTGCCATGCTATCCAGATTATCAAATCAAATAATCCAGATTATCTTCTTTGAAATGGGTTATATGATTCTACATTGATATATAATCCAGTTCAAAGCAGATAATCTGGATTTTATATGGCAGTGTAGAAGTGGCCTTAGCCACTGTGGGCAATTTTGGGGCATTTCAGACTTTTGGGTTTCCATATATGGGATATATAGAGTATTAAATCAGTCATTCGTACATATAGGAGCAATCATATTACACTTATTTTAAACCCATTCCACTGGCTGCCAATCTGTTTGTGGACAAAGTTCTGGTTTTTAACTTTAAAGCGCTAAATGTTTGGGTCCAGGTTACTTATTGGATTACCCCTTTCTACATGATGCACCCCCATAAAGACAGGGTTAGAAGACTGCAATAAATGTGCGTCTACACTACAATATCAAATTAATGCAGTTTAACATTGCTTGAAATGCCATGCCTCAAGGCTATGGAATCCTGGGGGTTGTCATTTCACAAGGCCTTGCATCCTGATGCTAGCAAACTACAAACCCATGGCAGTTAAAGTGGTGTCAAACTGCATTGTTTCTGCAGTGTAGATGCACCCCCAGAATTTTTCCCCACCACTTGTCCTTAGATTGTGGAATGACTTGCTCGGAAGATATTCAACAGCTAAATATTAAAACTGCATTAAAGACCAGTCCCTTTCAGCAAGCTTATCTGAATTATTTTAAATTATACATTCCAAATATGAATTTTAAAATACGTACTGATATATTGATATATAAAATTGACATTTAAATTGGTTTTATATACATATACTAGCGGCCCCCTGCCACTCGTTGCTGTGGCCCAGTCTGGTGATCTGGAAAATAAAGTAATGAGAAAGTGTTGGTTTGTAATATATGTCATTTCTTTATGCTTGTGGGTAAACAATATTTCTTGCTGTTTCTTTGTCAGCGTTGATGTGGAGAGTGTCTGGTTTGCCTACTCTGCAACATATTGTCCTTCTTTAGGGGTCCCTTTCAAATCTTTGATACTGCATCTGTCATATACATATATGTGTGTATGTGAATGGCTGGATGGCCCTTTCTTGCCCTAGTGAAGGGAGTTGGACTGGATGGCATTAAGGCAGCATTTCTCAACCTGGGGTTTGGGACCCCGGGGGGGGGGGTTGCGAGGGGGTGTCAGAAGGGTCGCCAAAGACCACCAGAAAACACAGTATTTTCTGTTGTTCATGAGGGTTCTGCGTGGGAAGTTTGCTCCAATTCTGTCATTGGTGCGGTTCAGAATACTCCTTGATTGTAGGTGAACTATAAATCCCAGTAACTACAACTCCCAAATGTCAAGGTCTATTTCCCCCAAACTCCATCTGTGTTCACATTTGGGCATATTGAGTATCCGTGCCAAGTTTGGTCCAGATCCATCATTGTTTGAGTCCACTGTGCTCTCTAGATGTAGGTGAATTACAAATCCAAAACTCAAGGTCAATGCCCACCAAACCCTTCTCGTGTTTTCTGTTGGTCAGGGAAGTCCTGTGTGCCAAATTTGGTTAAATTCCATCATTGGTGGAGTTCAGAATGCTCTTTGATTATAGGTGAACTATAAATCCCAGCAACTACAATTGACAAAATCAATTTTTTTGAGGGAAGGACATACATTGGGCTGTTAGTTGTCTTGTGTCCAAATTTGGTGTCAATTCGTCCAGTGGTTTTTGAGTTCTGTTAATACCACAAACAAACATTACATTTTTATTTATATAGATTAACTGATGCTATATGTTGTGTTTTAATATGTTGTTGTTCCTCATCTTGATCCATGAACAAAGGTGGATATGAAATGGTGATGATGATACGATGATGATGATGATGATGATGTCTGGTGCTCTTTCAACCTCCTTTGAAGCAGCTCGAAATTTCATCTCATTTTAGCCTCATAAAATCCTTCTTACCCAGTGTCTCCATAAACATGGGTATTATTTTCACCATCATCATCCCAAAATTACAAATGGTCTAAACTAAAGGCCCAGCCAATGAGTTTACAGCTCAGTGGAGATTTGAATCAGAGAACCAATCTGTATTTTTAGCCACTAGGTTTATAAACCACTATCATTATAATCCAGAATAAAAATTACAGTATTTGTGCAGTGCGCTGTGTTTTATATTATACGTTACCTTTAGGAGTAATATGTGCAGAGCTGCTTTCATGAATAGCATATTGGTTCCCTTTTGGGATTTCTCAGCTCCGTTCCAAGTAATATTCTGCAATTTCTTAATGTAATTAAAATGACTCCTTTTGCACTCATGACTGTCAGGGAAGAGGCACAGAAGATGGATTGCTTTAATGAAAGTTTTCCATGGCTTCATCCATGTGGGGTTTAATATACTAGTGCTTTTATATCTTGTGTTGACAATTTATCATTTCCACCCAAATTTCAGATCTCCTTTCTCAGATTTTGTTTGATATTGAGGTCCGCTTCTTCATTCTTAATATTGTATTGGCAGAATAATTTTCTCCTCCAAATAATGAGAACTATATTGCTTTTTGGAATGCATCTGGCCTGCTGTTTCATATTTGTATGAGTCAAGAAGAATTGTTCCTAACGTAGGAGATGGTCAGTTTTTAACTCTTCCTCCTTTATTGTAAAATAACCCTAATAAATGTGCACCAATGGTGCGTTATCCTCTATACTTGAGTCTTTGTATCTTCTTTGGGTCTCATTATCTGCCTATTGGATCTCATTATACACTGCTCGATGCTCACCATCCACGGTCCAGATCTCACTATCTGCGGCCATTTTAAATTGCTTGATTTCAGTAGCAAATAACTATTTGCTTGCTATTAGTTTCTTTCTTTAGCAAAGAAGGCTGGATCTACACTGCCAAATAATGCGATTTGGACTGCATTGGGTGGGTCTACACCAGGCATAGGCAAACTTCAGCTCTCCACGTGTTTTGGACTTCAGCTCCCACAAGACCGTGCCTGGTCTACACTAACCATAGCATAAACTGTATTTATTCAAGTTTAATGTCATCGAATCTAATGTAGTTCAAATTATTATTATTTGAAACACAAAAAGATGAGTCCACAGCAGACAAGATCACTCTGCTGGCTGTTGTATTGGATCACACGTCGGACACTTCCCAAGTGTCTAGGACTGTGTGATGTATCGGTGAATAATGTGTACAGATGGCCTTCTGCAGCTGTCAGATGGTAATTTTGTCAGCACCGATTGTGTTTAAGTGCAGGCCAAAGTCTTTAGGCACTGCACCCAGTGTGTCGATCACCACTGCGGACCACCTCGACTGGCTTGTGCAAGAGTCTTTGAGTCTATTATTGTGCTGGTACGGCTGTACCAGGAGCTCCAACTTTATTTTCTTTCTGTTAAAGTTTGCAATCATAGGACAGGCCACCTGTCCATCATAATTAAGCTTTGGTTCCGCCCCTTGTTCAGGGCTCTGGGAGGGAAAGGAGCCATTTTGGTCAGTCTCACACAAGGTAGCTAAGCTATAGGACGTAGACCAGCTCGTCCCATAGAAAAGCTTCCTTTCTCAAGAACATCCGGGGAAACAGAAACAGAAATTCCAGGGGAAAGATCCCAAGGCTCTGGCTGAGAGCTCACAGCCTCTCAGCCTCACAGCCTCACAGCAATCGGAGGGAAAACAGCCCTGAAGTTTTCAAAGAATTCTTGGAGGGAGGACAGCATTACAGATCCACTGAACTCCAGCTTAAATATCTTCAAGCCTCGGCTGGTTGGTCTACTCGACACCCAGACGCATTTGGAATTGGTAGTAAGACCCATACTGATGAGGCATAGATAGTAAACAGCCTGGGAGAGGTTAAATAGGGGTTTTTTT